AGGAGATAGACAGAGAAAAAAAAAAACAGAGAGAGAGGGAGGGAGGGGAAAGCATAGAGGCAGCCATGGCAGCCCTGAAGCATTGACAACAGCAGTTTCCAGAAACTATATTAAGAAGTCCCTCTGGGAAAAAGCACTTGTGTCCCAGCCAGCTTCCAGTGCCACCCTCTGTATGAGATACCCCGCTGAATCAATGACCACCGGAGCCACAGACCTGCCTGAACCTGTAGGCATGATCACCTGAGGCTCTGTCCTGCTTGCTCCTGGAGGAGCACAGCCACTAATGGCACCAGCTGGAGGAAGAGGGACCCTCTGAAGCATAGGTTCCACCTGTACTGATTAGAGGAAGATATGGGTAGACAACAATGCAAAAATACACTCAACAACATAAAGAGCAATGTGGCACCACCAGAAACTAGTGGTTCCACAGCAGCAAGACCTGAGCATCCAACACAAATAAAAAGCAGAAGAAAATGACCTTAAACATAACTTTATGAAGATGATTGAGGCCTTCAAAGAGGAAATGAAAAATTCCCTTAAAGAAATGGAGGAAAAGATAAACAAAAAATTGGAAGAAATTGACAAATCCCTTAAAGAAAACCAAGTAAAAGCAACCAAACAAGTGAAGGAAATGATTCAAGACTTGAAATCTGAAATAGAGACAATAAAGAAAACACAAACTGGGGGAATTCTGAAATGGAAAATCTGGATAAATGATCAGGAACTACAGAGGCAAGCATAAACAACAGAATACAAGAGACACTTGCAGGTGTTGAAGATATATAGAGGAAATATGCTCAGGACCAGATGACTTCAGAATTGTACCAGAATTTCAAAGAAGAGCTAGTGCCAATACTCCTCAAATTATTCCACACAATAGAAACTGAAGGAACATTGCCAAACTCTTTTTAGGAGGCTACAGTTATCTGATACCCAAACCACACAAAGATACAATAAAGAAAGAGAACTACAGATCAGTCTCCTTCATGATGCAAAAGTATTGTCAAACCAAATCCAAGAGCACATCAATAAAACAAAAAACAAAAAACAAAAAACCCATTCACTATGACCAAGTAGGCTTCATCACAGAGATGCAGATGGAAATCTGTCAATGTAATCCACCACATAAACAAACTGAAAGAAAAAAAAAAAACAACATGATCATCTCATTAGATGCTGAAAAAGCCTTCGACAAAATCCAACACCCCTTTCATGATAAAGGTCTTAGAGAGATCAGGGATACAAGGAACATATCTTAACATAATAAAAGAAATTTACAGCAAGCTGACAGCCAACACCAAATTAAATGGAGAGAAACTCAAAGTGACACCTCTAAAATCAGGAATAAGACAAGGCTGACCACTCTCTTCATATCTATTCAATATTGTACTCGAATTTCTAGCTAGAGCAGTAAGACAACAAAAGGAGATCAAAGGGATACAAATTCTAAAGGAAGAAGCCAAACTATCACTTTTTGCAGATGATATGATAGTATAAATAAGTGACCCCAAAAACTCTGCTTGGAAACTCCCATAGCTAATAAACTTTCAGTAATTGTCAGGGCCCATAAAAATGGCTTTGTTTCATCTTGTTTTAAGGTCAGAGAGTTCAAAACTATCCTTACTCTTCCAAGGTTAAAGTCCTAAGACCTAAGGGTCTAGGTGTGGCTATTGTAGGATGTTTGGTCTTGGCTGTGGATGTCTTATCTAAATAACAACAGACTTGGTCTTGCAAAAACATTACTCAACTTTATATGGAAAAAGAAAATAGCTAAAACAATCCTGTACAATAAAGGAACTTCTGGAGGCACCACTGCCCCAGACCTTAAGCTCTACTATAGAGCTATAGTAACAAGAACAGCTTGGTACTGGCATAAAAACAGAAACATCGATCAATGGAATCTAATGGAAGATACTGACATTAATCCAAACAGATATGAACACCTGAGCTTTGAAAAGAAGCCAAAAAGATACAATGGAAAAACTTTAATAAATGGTGCTGGCATAACTGTATGTCAACACGTAGAAGATTGCAAATAGATCCATATCTATGGCCTTGCACAAAACTCAAGTCCAATTAGAACAAGGGACTCAAAATAAGGCTAGTTACATTGAACCTGACAGAAGAGAAAGTTGGAAGTAGCCTTGAACACATTGGCACAGGAGACCACCAGTAGAACACCAGTAGTGCAGACACTGAATGCAACAATTAAGAAATGGGACCCTTTGAAACCAAAAAGCTTCCGTAAGGCAAAGGACATGGTAAACAAGACAAAAATGACAGTCTACAGAATGGGAAAAGATTTTTCACCAACCCCACATCTGACAGAGGGCTGATCATCAAAATATACAAAGAACTCAAAAATCTAGACAACAAAATACCAAATAATCCAAATTTTTAAAAAATGGGATGGAGAACTAAACAGAGAATTCTCAACAGAAGAAACTCAAATGCCCAAAAGACATTTAAGGAATTGCCCAACATCCTTAATCATGAGGGAAATGTAAATCAAAATGACTCTGAGATACCATCTTATACCTGTCAGAAATACCAAAGACAACTCACACCGTAGAGGATGTGGAGTAAAGGGAACACTGCTCCACTGCTGATGGTAGTGCAAACTTGTACAACCATTCTGGAAATCAGTATGGTGGTTTATCAGAAAATTGGGAATCAATCTATTTCAAGACCTAGTGATACTACTCTTGGGCATATAGACAAAGGATGCTCAATCATACCACAAGGATACTTGCTCAACAATATTCAGAGCAGCATTATTTGTAATAGACAGAACCTGAAAACAACTTAGATGCCCCTCAACTGAAGAATAGATAAAGAAATTGTGATACATTTACACAATGGAATATTATCTATAAAAAGCAATGATACCGTGAAATGCAGGCAAATGGATGGAACTAGAAAAAAGATCCTGAGTGAGGTAACCCAGACTCAGAAAGACCAGGCTACAACCCATAGCTCCAGAGAAGCTAGAGCCTTCTTCCAGTAAATGATGGAACCAGATGCAGAGATCTATAACCAAGCATCGGGCCCAACTCTCAAAATCCAGTCAAAGAGAGGGAAGAGGGAATACATGAAAAAGGGAGATCAAGTTCATGATGGAGAAATCTATAGAGACAGCTGAACCAAGGTCTTAGGAATTCATGAACTCTGGACTGACAGCTATGGAGCCCCCATGGGACTGAACTAGGCCCTCTGTATTCATGAGACAGTTGTGAAACTTGGGATATATGAGGGGTCTCCGGCAGTAGGACCAGGATCTATCCCTGGTATGAGCTAGCTTGTTAGAGCTCATTCCCTATGAGGGGATGCCATGCTCAGACTTAATGCAGAAGGGAGGAGCTCGGTTCTTCCCCAACTTAATGGGCCAAACTGTGCTGACTCCCCCTGGGAGCCCTTACCTGTTGGGAGGAGTGGATGAGGGTAGGCTGGGGGTGGTTGGAAGAGGGGTGAGCTGGGGGTAGAGGTGGGACGGGTCAGGAGGAGGTGTGGGATTGAGAGAACTTTGGTTGGAATGTAAAATGAAATTTAAAAAATATATAAAAAAGAGTTGCCTTTGTTATCTTGTCTCCTCACAGCAATAGAACGGTGAATATAACAGTTACTGATAAGTTATTGGACTCACACCCCCAAACAACAACAACAACAACACTGACCAAAACACTCTCAGATATACTGTTGATAAAATAAGAAAAATACCTACGTTAATGGACTGTGTAAGCAATATATTATTTACATAAAAGGATCCATCACAAAATATTTACTTGCTGTTCATTTTGTACATTACAGTTTCCTTCCTTCCACACTTTCTCCCTTGGAGAGAGAGTTCCTGTGGACCAACAAGTTTGGGAACATGCAAACATGGCGAACATACCTGTGGATTCTCTTGAGTTGAAAAGAACACCTGGATTGCTTATAACCAGGAACAAAAGGCTTTCACCAAGAAGAACACTTGAATTGCTGTGCCACTAAGTGAAGGTCTGAAGTTGTCGGGTCTCTGCTCTTCTCTGTCTTGCAAAGGCATAGGAGAAGTGCTTGTTGGTTAAATTGTTAAAGTGAGGTGTATACAAGTGGAATAGACTAGCAGCAAAGAAATCCATCCACTGGTGTGCCCTGGGCTTCTCTTGGTCGGGGGGGGGGGTGACTGAGCTGAGAGTGGAAATCCAAATACAACTCAGTGACTACATCCGAGAAATAAAGTCTAAGAAATAATAAAACCACTGAGCAAGACAGTGACATGACATTAGAAGGAGAGAGGAAGACATATACATAGCACACGTGGTAGATTCTGCAACAGCACCTGGCCCTGGGAAAATCCTGTCAGAGTGTCCTTTGCCCAGTCTAGAGTGGACCATGGGATAAAACTGGACTGCAGTACCAGTCTTTTCAGGGCTGATTATTAGCACTGGCAATAGAGACACACTTGCACATTTCAATATTATTATTTAAATACCTTGATCTCCTGATGGGGGTAGCCATTTGAAAATGTGCTTTATATCAGTAAGGGAAGGTCACAAGGAAGATGGGAATGGCAAGACCTGAATTCTATTTTTGTTTCTGCCTCTAACAAGGTGTGCAACCTTGACCAAAATTCTTGAAAAGTATAGTTAAAGTACCTTTCTCTTTCTATCAAGCTCGAAAGTATTGTGTCTGAGACCAAATAACTCATAAAATAAAAACAAATCCACAACAAAGAAAGAAAGAAAAGCAATACATCCCCCAAACGAAACCCCCAAAAGAGCCAAGCAAAATCCAGAACCAAACAATCAGCTGTGAATTCAAACCTGAAGGGCTAAGAAAATGCACATGGTGTGCCATCTCTGTCAATTAGAAAGAACACTAAAACATGAGAAATACTGTGTTGCTCTCTAGTTAATAAAGGAAAGTTTCTTAACCTTTGTACAACAGCAAAACCCCACCTCATATCTGACCAGCCAGCAATCTCTCCAGGAATATGGAATGACACATGCAATTAGCAGATTGCAGAATCAACTAGGTTTCTGGGAGATTGCCAGTTTGATTTACCCTCACTGTGCTCTGCTGTGTTTTTCCCTATTTGGGTTTCCAAGTGTCGTTCAAAGCAGTATCGTTCTGAAATCAAGCCTAGGCAGAGTAGGAGCACTGAAGGCCCCATGGTTGTGACTGACTGCCTACTTGGTTCTGCTTTCTGTCTCCTGAACTCTATTGCGCTAACCTCAGTCAACAGATTTCGGGAGTAAATCACACTTCTACAAAAAACACACACTCCATTCACCCTCTTCAAGAGCGATTTCTGGAAAAATTTCTTCTTGAAGACAAAGAAATCCAGGAGACTTACCTTGCTACAGCAGATTCTTGGACTTAAAGTCAAAGGTGGTGTTTGTTTGAGGACACAGGAGGAAGTTTCTGTCTCGGAGCCCTGTTTTAAGAAAAAAACCAAGGGTGCTGACTTGGATCAAACTCTTCTCAGTTTAACACAAGAGCCAGTTGCTTCTTCTACCATGCTGTTGACAAACAGGGAGATGTATTAATACGAATTTGACACTTCCTCTATCTCTGGGGAGGGCTGAGTGACTAAGAGCAACTTTCAGATTGGAAAGAAAGGAGTCCCGCCCCTTTCCCACAATCTCCCCAGGACAAGAGCCAAAATTTCCTGGCACTGAGAGGTCGTGCTGTTATCATCAATGCCTTTAGAGGGCGCCAAACTCTCATCCTTCTCTGGGACACCCCGACTTCATTATCTGTCTTAATTATATACTTTTATTTTTGGAGAATTCTTTTACATGTATTCAATGAAATATAATCATATCTGCTCGCCACTCTCCGTCAACTTCCCAATCCTCCCAACACATTCCAACACAATGGCTTCATTTTTTAGTTTGATAACTAAGTAAGCTTAGTACTGCCTGAGTGTAGATGATAGGGGGTCATTGACTAGAGCATAGGAAACCTACCAGTGGCCACACTTTCAAAGAGTGATTCTCCTCTTAAACCAAATAGGAGCTATGAAAAAAGTGAAAGAAATAAAATAAAAAGGAAAAAATAATCCAGGCCACCACTTGCTCTCTCTCTCTCTCTCTCTCTCTCTCTCTCTCTCTCTCTCTTTCTCTCTCCCCCCCCCCGCCCCTTCCTCCATCCCTTATTTTCTTTTTCTTCAAGGCAGGGTTTCTTCAGTCCTGGCTGTCTTGGAACTTAGTCTGTGGACCAGGCTGGCCTTGAACTCATGGAGATCTGCCTGCCTCTGCCTCTGGAGTGCACCACCACTACCTGATGCTTGTTGTCTTCTAACTCCAGGTTTGTGGTCTCGACTTTCAGGGTTCACAAGTGGGTGTGCCCCTTAGATTGGGTCAGTTGAAGGGGCTGGTAAAAACTGAGGACATAAAATCCCTTCTAGACCTTCACCTGGTCTCAGGACGGGCAACTGATGAAGTAGTAGCGTAGCAATACCAAGAAGCCAGGTCTCCTTCTTACTCTCAATGCTTGGAAGTCACCATAGCGATGCTGGTCCATAAGGCTTGTTGAAGGACGTTCTCCACCATGGTTCACTGACCATTTTCTGAACCAAAACTCAGAAATACAAACATCTGGAGGAGGCAGGAAGGCAACATGAATAAATGTGGACAGATAAGACCTGACTGGGAAGCTCAGTGGTCTGCTCAGTTTAGCTAAAAGCTAAACTGGGAGCAAGAATCTAATGTCTCAAGGCTCTAGGCCCTTTCTTTATTCTTTTTGGGACAGAGTCTCTCTATGTGTTCTGTCTTTCTAGCCTTTCAAACTGGCTATCCTTTTGTGTTAACTTTCCCAGTGCTGAGATTACAGTTACACACCACCATCCCTGGTTTGCAGGTAAAATATGTTTGAACAGCAGGATCTAGCTGAATATCCCTCTGTGATTTCTGTATGCAAATGCCACTTATCACAGTGGAATTTGCCTTGGGAAACCAGGAGAGCATGCGTGTGTTGTGCCCATGGGCCCAGCAAGAGGAATGTAGCATGGGCATTCCTCATTTGGATATCTGCCCTGCTCTGAGAGGCAGAGTCTGCCTACAGCTAGCTGCACCTCTGCATGGTGTGCTACTGAACTGAAGGCTTGAGGTGTCCTATGACCCTGTCCCTGAGGCTCTCCTTTCTCCTCTGCTCAGGCTTGCTGTTGCACCATTAGATGGGCTTGGGGACTCTGTCCCTATGGCTTTACAACTTGCCTCACAATCAGGTCAGAAGCACCAGGTTCAGAAGCAAGGAGAGGACTAACATCCCAGACTCCAGTGGTTGCAGTGAGGTATTTCTCAGGACTTCCTGTTCCAAGGTTACTGGTGTTCAGCCCTTTGTGAGGTTGGGGCAGCAGGGTGGGGGGTCTCCTGGCTCATTGTGTATTTCCAAATCTATAGCTCCTTTATTTCAACTGCGTTTATTTGGAAGTCGCTAGTTTAGAGTGAGCTGAGGTGAAAGACGAACAGACCTCAGAAGTAGCAAACAGCATTTGAACTTTGATACTGACTAATCTTTGGACCCAAAGAAAACTAGGGAAACACTCTGAGAGGCAGTACTTGCCTAAGACAATTTCCTGAAGCTGATGTAGAACTGTCGTTCCTGCACGCAGTTGTCCGAAGCTAAGGGATTGTAGCGCACTTGAGACCAGTGTGGATTATGAAGCTAGTACCAAGCTACATAGCAAGACCCTGACTCAAAACACCCAAAGAACAGCAAAACAGGAAAAGACAGAAAGAAACCACACCCAAAGATTATGTATTAAACCAAGTACTGAGCACAAGAATGTTTACTTGATGTCCATTCTCTGGGGACTTGTGCCCTACCTCCTCTCACAGACTTAACGTTTAACACGGAATGTGAACACAAGTAGGCAAATACAACCGTAGATTCCCTTGAGTTGAGAAGGAGGCACGGACCACTTCTGTGCTGGCTGGTTTTGTGGGTCAACTTGACATGAGTTAGAACCATCAGAGAGAAAGGATCCTCAATTGAGGAGATGGCCTCCTTGAGATCCAGCTGTAAGGCATTTTCTCTATTAGTGAGCAATGGGGGAGGACCCAGTCCATGGTGGATAGGTCCATTTCTGAACTGGTGGTGCTGGGTTCTATAAGAAAGCAGTCTAGTAAAGCCAGGGCAAGCAAGCCAGTAAGCAGGACCCCTCCATGGCCTCTGCATCAGCGTCTGTCTCCAGGATCCTGCCCTGTTTGAGTTCCCTGACTTCCTTCAATGATGAACAGTGATATAAAAGTGTAAGCCAAATAAATCCTTTCCTCCCCATCTTGCTTTTTGGTCATGGGGTTTGGTCACAGCATTAGAAAACCTAGCTAAGAGAGCTCTTAAACCAGGAACAAGTGGCCTTCACCAAGAAGAACACTTGAATTGCCAGGCTACCCAGCGAAGGTCTGAAGCTGTCAGATCTCTGCCCTGCTCTGTCTTGCAAAGATACAAGAGAAGTGATTGTTGGTTAAATTGGCAAAGTGGGAAGTATGTGCGTGGAATAGACTAGCATCAAAGGACTTCATCCACTATTGTGTCCTGTGGACCTCTTGGTGCAGGGAGTGAGTGTGGGCTCAGAGATGACTGACACTCAGTGGGTAAATAAAACCATTCATATCTAAGTGAGGCGACATCCTTGGAAGCAAACTGTATTAAGTCACCAAGTACCAGGTCCTGGCTGCTACTAAATCCTCTCTGAGAAAAGAAAGTATGCATGCCCAAAGTATTCCTTATATCTTCATGATGTGAACTTTCTATTGCTGTGAAGAGACACCATGGCCACAGCAACTCTTAAAAAGGAAAATATTTAATTGGGAGTGGCTTATAGTTCAGAAGTTTAGTCCGTTATCATCATGGCAGGAAGCTTGGTGGCAAGCGGGCAGACATGGTGCTAGAGAGGAGTTGAGCATTCCACACATTGATGCACAAGCAGCAGGAAAAGAGGAGTGAGCCACTAGGCCTGGTTTTGTGCTTCTGAGATCTCAAAGCCTGCCCCCAGTGATGCACTTCCTCCAACAAAGCCAACCTACTCCAACAAGGCCACACCTCCTAGTAGTGCCACTCTCTATGGACCAAGCATTCAAATACAAGAGTTGATGGGGCCATTACTATTCAGATCACCACACTAACCATGGCCCAAGTGTTACCTTCAATTATTTTTCCTTGTTGAACTATGGTGTTCAACAAAATATGCTCAGAAACATACAGTTTGAATTGAAGATGCCTGGGAATGGGCTGGTCACCAATGTGCTTTCTTACATGACTCTGTCATGACTCCTTGAATAAAATCCTCAATTTCTTTGTTGGAGGAAGATATTGTATTGAAGCAACTTCCATGTTCTCCTTACCTGCTACAGCTAATAAAGCCTTTCCCCATTCTTTTATTTATTGGCTGCCTTTGTTTTGGCTTTGAACTCATCCAGGTGTGAGCCATTGAGTTTGGTTATAAGAATGGTAACATATGGAGACAAAGCAAAAGATTTTAATCTATATGGAGAGAGCCTGACATGAAAATGATAATGTGGAAACCCTATAAAGTCAGTGTACCCTGGGTATGAATGCTGCCAAACTCTCTTTGCCTCTGTTTAAAGAGTTGTGGGATAAATGGGTCTAGGTAAAAATACTTCTCTCTCTTTTTTTTTTTTTAAATCCAAAATGTGTTTGTTGGCATTGTTTCCTGCTCTCCTTGATCCAGGGTGCTTTTAGTTTCCTTCTTCCTAAAGAAGCAGTCTCTTTATAAGCCTTGCTTTTCTTCCTGTAGACTGGCAAAGGGCAGTGGAACAATCAAAACACAAGGTTACTATCTTGTTTACTGTTCTATTGCTGTGAAGAGACACCATGACGGAGGGGACTCTTATAAAAGAAAACATTTAATTGGGGCTGGCTTATAGTTTCAGAGGCTTAGTCCATTATCATTATGGCGGGGAGCATGGCAGCACATAGGCAGACACAGTGCTGGAGAAGTCCTGAGAATTCTACATCTGGATCCACAGGCAGCAGGAAAAGAGTGACAGTGGGCCTGGTTTACGTTTTTGAAGCCCACCCCCAGTTACAAACTTTCTCCAACAAGGCCACACCTCCTATTCCTTCTCAAGTTGTGCCACTCCCTAATGACTAAGCATTCAAACAAATGAGCCTACCGGGGCCATTTTGTTTTGTTTTGTTTTGCTTTGTTTTGTTTTGTTTTGTTTGTTTGAGACAAAGTTTCTCTGTGTAGCCCTGGCTGTCCTGAAACTATGTGGATCCTGTAGATCAGGATGGCCTGGAACTCACAGATATCCTCCTGCCTCTGACTCCTGAGTACTGAGATTAAAGGCATGCAACACCCTGCCCTGCTTGCCATTTTTATTCAAACTACCACAGCCACTGAGTATGCATGCCTAAAGATTATGGGGATTGTATAACATCCTGGGCATTTCATATTCTCTAAGTACAAATTGGGACTTTTCTGGAGAAGGATGCAGGAGATCCTTTGTGGGAGGCATGTTCTCACAGGCAGGCCTTCACCACTGGAAAAGCTCTTTTGTTCTTGTAATGCTGGAGATTGAACCCAGGGTCTCACACATGCCTGGTGGAGACTCTGCCACTAAGATACATACCTAGCCCTTTAAACAATTATTTAGAAACATAGTCTGATTGTGTTACTCATTTCAGCCTTTGACTTCAGCCTCCTAAATGGTTGGGATTACAGGCATGTGCCCCTGCATTTAGTACACTTTGTGCTCTTTGTGTGTGCATGTTTGCAAGTTCGTTTGAAAGCCAGAAGGTAACCTTGGGTGGCATTCCTCAGTCACCATCTTCATTCACTTTCTCCAGTCCTCTAGTGCAAGCCACGCCTCCACTCCCACTCCACCCCCAAGATTGGAGCTCTCACAGGTCTGGAATTTACCAGGTAGCCTAGGCTAGCTGGAACATGCAAAGCAGTGGTAAACTGTCCTTGTTGCCTTTAGAGGGAGCTAGACACACAGCCTTCTTGGTGACAGGTACCTTGTTGCCCCACCCAGTCTTTTACTGTGCATCTTAAGAGCTGTCAGAAAGGGAGAAAATAATTCCAACCAC